TATTTCCAGCGTCCCCATAACAAGGGGTGGTATGGGGTACTCAATTTAGCAAACTAGATGGTTTTTGGAAAATTATCAGAGATCATTAAAGGACTTTCAAAACCAACTCACTTAATCATGCGGGGTATGAGCATACGGTACACCGTACCCAAGCGGTAAGTTCATAAAGATATCTTATTCACTCGGGGTTCACCATCTAAAATGCATTATTCATATTCAATTGATGAACCTTCCACTTCATAGCAACAACAACAAATAATAAAACAACAATAATCAACTTTACAACAAGGAAGAGTGAAGTTGTCAATATAATCAGTGTGCAATTTTTTGACTACTCAACACAACTAACTTGGTCTTATTTCGCTCCTTGGTACACTCAGAGTGAAGTTTAGTTCAATACACCCACTAAAAACTCAATGCTCTAGTATGATGAATAAGATCCGTAATCAGGGCCCGATGCACTCAATTGGAATTGGGGCATATGCCCCCTACAAAATTTTTATAATCAGGCAAATTTTTTTTTCATTTTAAATTTTATGTATATATGCCTCCAACAAAAATTAATGTCACCCCATCAAATTAGGCTAAATTTAAGTTTTTTGTTTGATTTTTTAGTAAAGTGTATTTTATTGCATATAATTAATTATTTATGAAATAAAATTTCAAATTACCTATTTAAGATGTTTTACATTCAATAAAAATTTAAAATAAAATTCATTATTTTTTTGTCATTTCATATACCTTATAAAAAAAATCTATCCCAACCAATGACGCATTCATTCAATTTCTAGATCCGCCATTGTCTATAATATCTCAGGTGTGATTCCTCCCCAAAACACTATGTAAACAATCTTTTATTTTTCAATTTGTGTACAACAATCAAACAAAGAAAAGATTAAAAAATAATTTTCTTATCAATTTACTCCATATCTATTAACCAAGATTAAAAGGTTTAATTTTTTAACCTTCTTTTTCTTTCTTTTAGCATTTGCTTTTCTCTGATGTACGGAGTAATTCCCCAACGTTGAGTCGTTTTCCTAATCCACAAACGCAGATGGAGAGTCAAAAATCTCTTTCCGATACAGAAGAAATCCTCTCTGTGAAACCTCCCTTCTCTAAACCATGTCGTTCAAATCCATGAACTCGATCGCAGCTATGTCCATGGTGGGCTTCGGTCTCTTCACTCTCTTCCTCACCAGATTTGTTGATTTGCCCCCCGCATCATCATCATCATCTTCTTCTTCGAACCCTACACCCATCAAAGAATCGATTTTTGCAGCATCCCTCTCATCAGATTCCCGACCCGACCCGTTCGAGGACCTATTGGGGGCATTCAAGAGATGGGATTCTGAAGTAGGGTGCGCCAGGTTCAGGGAGAAGCACAGAGGGGTGCTGATGAGGAATGGGTCTTCTTCTTCGGTCTCTTCTGGTTCTTTGCAAGATGTAGACGAGGGTGAATTGGATTGTGGGGTTTTGGGGATGAACCATGTGAGTGTTCTTGTGAAAGGGTGGACTTGGATTCCAGATAATATGGATAATCTTTACTCTTGTAGATGTGGGCTTAGCTGTTTGTGGACTAAATTGCCAATTATGGCTGATAATCCTGATGCTTTGTTTTTCGAGTCTAGTACTCCTCCTCTCAAGGTAACTTCTTTATTTTTAGGTATTTCAGCTAATTTCAACTTTTAAAACAAATCATTTTGGTTAATTTCTTCATATTTAGTATAGAGTATATGACCTTAGATAGGAACACACAAAGATCTAGGGTTAGAGTAATTGGGTAGTCGTGTGAGCTTTAGTTTTTAGTTTTTGATGGTTTTTGTTTCTAGGACTTTGTAGTTTGTACTTTGTAGCTTGTGCTTGTGGGCTTGAGAACTAGTTGTTTGAGTCAGTGTGTGCAACTTATTTTACTTGTGCTTCATTAGTGCTACTGTGGTTTGTTTGTCAGTACTTCTGTGCTTGAATGGGGGTCTCTTGGAAACAGCCTCTTTAATTTCAAGTATGGGTAAAGTCTGTGTACACTCACCCTCCCCGGGACCTTACTTTTTGTGAGATTTTACGGAGTTTGTTGTTTTGTTTAGTGCAGTAGGTTTGTTGATTTGGGGTTGTAATATGATTATGTTGATTCGGATATTCAAACTGTAGTTTAGGTATACCCAATGTTCTAACAAGTGGTAAGCTGTGGGGCATATGCTTTGTTTGGTAGCCATAATATGACTTGTACAAGTATCTTTTGACGTACTTATTTTGATTGTAATGAATGTTAATTCAGCAGTGTCATTCCAGCCAAATAACCCTCGCCAAACAGGGCGTTAGTCGGGGCTTAGGCTTGTTAGGCCAAGCTGAAATAAGAAAAAAGTATGAAGATCTATGGTCGTTTCCATTAGACCATAGATGCATTTACTTCCCAAGGGAAGTTTAATGTCCCATTTCGATATAGTCCATTATATGTCCAAAACAAAAACATTATCAATAATGACTCGTTTGACGCCACGGATTATAATTTGATTAAGCGATAGCATATGATTTGACCCTCGTGTTTTTTGTCAGAGACGGAAAGGCGACCCATTGCGTGTGTACATGGATCTTGAACCTGGGAGGAAGAGATCGGGATACGAGGATGTTTTTATTAGCTATCATGCCAAAGATGATGTCCAATCCACCTATGCTGGATCTCTCTTTCACAAGGATAGAAATTATCATCTTTCTCCTTCTAAGAGAAATGTAAGCATTCACACACTCTTTCTTTTTATTAGGAAATGAATATGTGGCTCTTTTCATTTTTTCTTTCCAAAATTTCACTAAAGACCTTTTCTCTTTTTAACGCTTTTCTAAAACTTCGTGAAGTCAAACTGCAAAGTTGTTTTTTGGGGAGGGAGGGGTAGTTTGAATCTTGTATGATATCAAGACTTGCAAAACATCTTTCTTGGTTTTGTTTGTTTTTTCAACAACTTTGCAGGACACACTAGTGTATTGGTCATCGTCTCGGTGTCTTCCCGAGAGAAACAAGCTTGCCAAACAGGTCCTTAGCCTACTCCCGCACCACTCGTTCGGGAAGTGCCTCAACAACGTTGGGGGTCTCGACCGAGCGCTTTTCCTTTACCCGGACTGCGTCAAGGACCCGAACGAGACCCCCAAGTGGTGGGACCACCTCCACTGCGCGATGTCAAATTACAAGTTCGCCCTCGCGATCGAGAACACCGTGACAGAGAGTTACGTCACGGAGAAGCTATTCTATGCCCTAGAGGCAGGGTCCGTCCCCATCTACTTCGGTGCCCCTAATGTGCAAGACCTGGTGCCCCCGCACTCGATCATTGACGGGAGCAAGTTCGAGTCTTTGGAGGGACTTGCGTCCTACGTGAGGGCACTTGCCAATGACCCGGTGGCCTACGCGAAGTTCCACGCGTGGAGGAGGTGCGGGGTGTTGGGGAACTACCGGAGAACGCGGGCTGCGAGTTTGGATACTTTGCCATGTAGGCTTTGTGAGGTAGTGAGCAAGAAAAGGGGAAGGAATTATGAGTAATTAATTAATTAATTAATTAATGTAGTATACATTTTTGTAGTCTATAAACTCTCTACCAAGTCAGATTCATAGTATATTCATCTGAACATTAATGTAGTATTGATTTTTGTTTTCTTTGTTAAATCTTGCAGGTTTTTGTTCTTTTTTAAGTGTTTATGAATTTTTTAAAGTTTTTCTAGTTAGGATTTGGTTAAAGTTTTTTAAAACAATATCCAAACGGTGTTATTTTGGTCTAAAACAGTTCTTTAAGAAAGGTCTAATATTTTTTGTGTAAAAGAAAGGACTAATTTTGTTACAGAAAAGACATTAGCTTTAAAAAAATACAGTACTCAGTATACTTGATTGAAATTAAAGAAAGAGTAAATTCCATAAAAGGTCTCTAGAAATAGATCGTTTTACATATTTAGTTCTTACATATCAAATATTAATAATTTAATCTCCAATTATTATATCATTTTTCACGAATGGTCTTTTGTTATCGATCTTGTTAAGAACATGGATAAAATTGTAAATTCATACTTCTCTCTCCTCAATTAAGTTTTCTCCTTCATCTCGTACTCTTTTCCAAACTTGTCGCTGAGTTTTAAGCTCTAAACCCAAAACTGAAATAATCATTCTTCTCTCAATTATTAGTCTTCCTGGTGGAACCTAAAATCAAAACCAATAAGCTTTATGGATGAGTTTTATCAGTTAGTCTCAAGAAATTTCAAAGAAATTAAACATTAAAACTCATCCATGAAGGTTACTGTTTTCGAATTTAGGTTCCACCAGTTAGACAAACAATTGAGAGAAGAGTAATGATTTCAGTTTTGGATTCAAAGCTTCAAACTCAACGACGGGTTTGGGAAAGGAGTGCAAGGAGAGGGAAAGTAGAGAAAAGAGTGTGAATTTACAATTTATCCATGTTCTTAAAGAAAATGTTAACAAAGGACCATTCGTGAAAATGAATATAATAATTGGGAACTAAATTAGTAATATTTGATATGCAGAGACTAAATATGTAAAACGACCTATAACTGGGGACCTTTATGGAATTTACTCTTAAAGAAATAAAGAGTATATCTTTATAAAGAATGTTTATACATTGCACATTAGATGCAATTAAAAATGCATGAATATTTTTGCATAAATAAATTAATGCTCCTCCCTCCTAAAATTATTTACCTTATTCAAACGTGCAAAATTTCATGACTTTAAAAATGATTTATCCACAAATTGTTATAGAAATAAAAAAAACAATTTCCATACTTAAAATATGAAAAAAAAAGTTAAACAAAATAAGAAATTACAAGAATGCTTTATTTTATTAAATGATCAATGAAAAGAGTCAAACAAACAAAAGTTGTTGAAAAACCATAATACTCCGTAGTAAAAAAATAAATCATTTTGAGACGCATGGAGTAAAAAACAGATTATATAAATAATTACCATAACATTATAACTAGTTATACTATTATGTTCCTAAATTCTTTTGTGCACAAAAAATTGCATTTTATAAAATAGTTGTGGGATAATAATATTAATCAAAAATAGAGTTTGGATCAGGTGAGAATAAGATCTAACACAAAGCATTAAAAAAACATTATACTGAAAAATGAAGGACTCAGAATCTTGTTCTTGCAAATAAAAAATTGTAGCAACAAGAAACAAGTGAAAAATGCTTCTTGTGTGTTTCCATCTTTAGCTTGAAATAAATAAATTAATGACAATCCCCTCAAAAGCTAAGGTTTAACGCCAGGAAAAAGCTCTGATATCTTGTTGAAAACATCCATAACCTGACAGGAAAAAAAAGAGTGCAATGTGATTATAGTTTCAATAGAATATGGTGCTGAAATATGCCCGAACGGGATTTTAAACGTTCGGGCGATTATTATCATAGACTCATTTCCTTTCTTAAAGGGCGATTCGGTCATTTCTTGAACACCGAGACCGGTGTAGATATTTTTTTGGGTGATCTCCATCGTAATGATATAGGATACACTAGGGTTCGTCTGGCACTAGGTTTCGGGTGTCATTGTCATATTATGACTCCGGGGTCCTATAGTGCTCTGTTGGACCTCAAAGTGAGACCTACCCCCTCTAACCCCTAACCCCGGAATTGCCGATTTGCTACAGTAGGACCCAGTATGGGGCCCAACGAAGCACCATAGGGCTCTCGAATGGCCGGTGTCATAATATGACACTCAGGGTGGGTGTCAAAAAAAAGGAGCGAGACCGCGAGAAGAAGAATAAACGGTACGGAGTAATATTTACCTCCTTGTCACTTTGATATTTGCCTATATTATAAGGATTCTGAGAAACCTGCAAAACAAACAGGGATTAATGGTGAACAAGAAAGAAAATAAAGTGTGTGTGTGTGTGTGTGTGTGTAGTTCATACATCCATAATAGCTGCTTGGATTCTTGGATTTTGGAATGCCATTGCGACATCAGGATTCGCCATAATCTTAGAAATGACTTCCTCCGGGGTTATCCCTATTTCATCTGAAATATAGATGAAAAGGACAGAAAAATCCTTAGATAGAAAACAAAAAACTCCAAAATTTTGTCATACTATTACACCTTTCAATGAGAGTGTACTAAAAATTGGGGCACTAAAGTTACTATTAAAATAAAAAAACAAACAAAATAAATTTAATGCCTTAATACACAGAGACATTCAAGCTTACCAAACTGCTGCTTGACATCTGGACTATTGAGATCAAAGTTTTTCAATGTATCCATCATTTGGGTATCCCATCCCGGGCTTCCGCTCATGTTACTCCTGATAGACAATTCAAAATTTAGGGCAAAAAAAAACTTAAAATAATCAACTTCAAATAAACCTGTTGATTATGTTTCACCGTCGCAATAATCCAAACTAATTTCGGGTTCGTGGCACAAATTTTGTATCTATGGCGGTAACACTCTAAGTGCATTTAAAAAGTACAAAATGCCCTTCTTTGTCCCATTGTGTTTATTCATTATTCTTTTTTTTGGGTGTCCATATGTATTTGTTCATTTTCCATTCAAGGAAAAGGAATAAAATAGCATGGACTTATTTGCCCTCGCCTAATATTACAACTCTCCCACCCAAAAACACTAATGATCATTCCCATCACTTTTTGCTTTCTCCTTGCTCCATGTTCCAAAACAAATGATGACAAATACAAAGGGAATATACTATACACCAGGTAGTCAATTTATACATTGTGACATTGTGTGCTTTTATATATGAGTACTCTTTAAAAAGAGCATTTGTATAGTACTTCTATCTTATGAATTACTTATAGTTTTTTTTGGATCGACAACTGGGGGTGGGGAGAGGAGCTACATGAGTTGGTGCTCCAACCAACTAATTGAGCACCCGCAACCTCAAAATATAAACTTGTTTGGATATTATTGGTCAAAAGTTGAAATCTTTGTCTACAAGAAGTCAAATGCGACATATTAAAGTGGGACGGAGGAAGTATAGTAACGAAAAATGTGTTTGTGAATGAGCCTCAAACAAAAGAAATATGTACAAGTTGGAGAGTTGGCAAATTATAGAAAACATACAACATGTCTTGTAATTGTTGACGGTACAACGGGTTTTGCAGCATCCCTGTTAAAGAAAAACGGAATTCAATCAATGATATTTGACTAAACAAAGAAATCAACTTCATATTTCCCAACTCAATGCAAACTTCAACTCACATTTAAAGGTGTCAGGGTTTCTCATCTCTTCTGGAAGGTATCTGCAAACAATAATAGAATAAAACAAGACATTTAAAATCGATTGACCTGTGTACTAGGGTCTGTTTGGAAAACAACTTCCTTAGTGCTTGTCTTCCTTCCCCTAGCATTTTCCAAGATCCAAAGTCCAAACTTACCCTTAATACACAAAGAGAATGGAAAAATAAGTGTTATCTTACGGATAAACCATCTTCTGCAAATTTGGGTCCTCCATCATTTTCTCCAATGCTTCCACTGTAAACAGAGGATTTGATTTTCCTGACACATTTATGAATTTATGCAAGTCTTTTTGTCAGAAAGACAATACAAAATAAGTAAATGTTTATATGGAAAAAAACAGGCATGGAAGACAATTACTCCATTTATCCCAAAAAGAGTACAACAATACCCTCAGAAAAACTCCACAAATAGTAGAGTCTCGGGTAACCCTACTTGGTAGTAGAGAGGTGGTTTCCTAGCATCCCAAAAATGAGTGATGTTTAAGAACTTATTTTTTTCAAAACAATACTTCTATTTTGACAAGAAGAAGCTAATTTTCATCATATTTAATGCTTTTGTATACACAAAGTATCCTACACAAATTGGTGTTAAATTTTGTTGTAACGAATAAATTTAAAATTTTGTACCTTTGTGTAGAACAACAAACCCAGTAAAATCCCACAAGTAGGGTCTGGAGAGAATGTGTACACAGACAATATACCTACTTGGTAGTAGATAAGTTGTTTCTAGGAGCTTTGTGCAAAAAATAAACTCTTTCTATGGGATGAAGGGAGTGTAACTTACCACCTGATGAAGAACTTTGAGATGACCCAAATCTCGAAGATGACGCGTTTTGATTCTCAGATTCCTTTGAAGATACCAAAACAATTTAGTGATTATGAAATTATTGTTATAAAAACTAGTTTTAGATAAGTAGATTTGAAAAAATAATAAAACTCACTCGGCTAGGGTTTGATGGTTTTGTCACGGATATGTCCCTATAATTTTCAAAAGCATTCTTCTTTATCGTCTCTTCAGGCGACACGTCTACAAAAGCTGCCCAAGAAAGTAAAAGATTTAATTGAATATGAAGATTTACATACAAAAGCTACAAAGATGCATGTGCTTTATCTCCAAGACAATGAACATATTTATGCGTATGCATCGAAGTTTTTGAACTGAAACAAGATTTATGGCAGTTCCGCAAATGAAACAATTAATGGCTAACGGTCTGCTGAGTATTTAAGATATGTCCTTAAAATCATTTTATTTATATTTCTAAAATATAAACACACACACACACTTCTGGTCAAATTTGACTTTCCAAGTTAAGACCAAGCATTGAAAAACTATTTCCCTTGGCATTTCGTTCCCATTTCCCTACCATTTACTTCATTCCAAACTGTACTTTCCTCTCTATTTTCTTTCCTTGGCATTTTCAGAGTTCCAGACATACCCTATAAGACTCTAAAGGGATTGAAAGACTACCGGTTTTCTGGGGCTCATCATCCACAGCATCTCTTGTTTCATCTTTGACATCGGGGGTAGGAGGATCATCCAACTTGGTGGCAGATACATCCATGGTCACCGGCTGAGATGCAGATGAAGGTGGTGATGATGTCGCATTGCTCAATGTATTAGGGGGTGAAGGAAATGCACCACCTGAACCTGAAGTAGGTGGCGGGAAAGGGAAAGGTGATCCGGGCATAAAAGGGGAAGTACTAAATTGACCATTTTGTGTGTTCATCTGTCCCATCATTGTCTTGAAAGCTTGTTGCATTGCATAGTTCTGTATGAACACAACACAAACACAAGGAAATGACTTGAAGCAGGCCGGGGATGAGAACTTAAGCAAAAAGAAAGCACAACAAGCATGGTAAAATCCCACAAAAAGTAGAGTAAGAGGAAGTGCATGTGAAATAGAGAGGGTATTTCAAAGAGACACAAAAAGAAATTTGTGTGCTATTTGGTGTGCTATTTATGCATAATGAAGTAAGAATGAGTGTGAAATGCAAATTGCAAAACGAACATAAGTGCCAAAGTGTTAGAGAATCACTTGCCTTTAGGCTCTTAGCTGCCTGCCATACATTCAAAAAAATGAAAAAAAATTAGTACGAACTACGAAACAAATATTTATTCTAAAAATTCTGTGAATAGATCAAATAATTGAATAAATATTCTCACCCATGAAAATAGTGCCGAAAGCGCAACACCAATTCCCATCCAAAACAAAGGCGACCCTCTACAAGAATAGACAAATAATAACATATTTCTAACATAATATGAACCGCTTATTGTTGTACTTCAAAGGAAACGGGTGATAATTATAATTTGGAGACATTGGGGTGGACAAATAGATGTAAAAAAGAGTTCCAAAAATTTCATGAAGAAATTTGAAAATCAGCTTAGTACCTAATATCAATGAAATTTGTTAATAAAGCCCCAAAAATAGATACCCCTAATATACATTAAAAATGATAGGGATATTCCATACTCCTTTGTTACTCTGTTTTTTGAAGACAAACTTTTGTTCTCAAATATCTGTCACTTTTAAAAATCAAGAGAGCATTGATCCTAATTTCAACTATTCCCTTCTCCGTGCATAAATGCTGCAGATTACTTTAAAATGTTACTAGGGGTATTCGAGTGATATTGTGGTATTTTTAATTCAACTCTAGAAAATTCAGTTACATTCTTGTTATGTGTTCAAACAACCAAATGGCGGTTAAAAGAGAAAGAAGAGAGTATGAAGCTATTTACATAGTATTTGATGACGGCGAAGAAACTGGAAATTGAGGGCCTACACCAACTGAAGATGTTTGTTGGCTACCTGAACTAGTGCTTGCAAAACAATCCTTTCCAAATTGTTTCATCACTATAACATATCAGAAAACCCAAACAAATGAAAATCAAAACCAAAAAGTAAAAGTTCATTGAGCAATTCAACGAAGGAGAAAATGAGCTTGTGGTGTATCAAACTTTCTAGAACCAACAACAACAACACTAGTATCCCAAAGAAGTAGGGTCTAGGGAGGGTGTTTGCACGCAAACCTTACCACTACTTGGAAGTAGAGAGATTGTTTTGAAGAGACCCCCACCACAAAAAGCATAGATAGAGTCAAGTACAGTAAAGTAAACACAATAGCATTAAATGTCCAAATTCAATGATAAAAACAAACTGCACTTTTCTAAGTTTTCTTTTTAGGGAGTGTATGTGACTGGAGTCTCGAAGCTAAAGTCTTAAAGCTATAGTTTGGAGATCGATTTTTTGAGGCTGGATATTACTTTCATTTTAAGATTTTAACTAAAATATAGTCTGGAAGCTAATCTCTTGAGTGTTAAGCCCGGAGTATGGAAGCTAAAATCTGAGGAATGAAGAGTGGAGTCTAGACAACTACAGTTAAAAGTTGAAAAAAATAGGCCCTTAACTCACATAGCCCATGAACTTCATAATGCTATTACGGGCATGTTTGGGACCCATGCAGTTACTTTTATTTTATACCGAGTATTTGTAAAATTTCAGCTATATATAAGAGTATTGCGTTCCCCATTCAGAATGGTGTCAGATATGAAAACACATTTTTCATTTCAGCTTTTTTTAACAGCTTGAGCCTTAGTTTGTAGTTTATGCTTGGTGGGTTTTTAGCTTAATCTGTAGCTTGTGCAGGCGTGCTTTCTATGCTTTGGGGTCTAGTTGCTAGTGTCACTATGTGTCTTTCTTGTCTTTGTGTTATTACTTTATTTGTGCTACTGTGTACTTGTGAAAAACCTCTCTACTTTCGAGTAGGGGAAAGGTCTGCTCCACGCTTTGCCGCTGCTACTTTTTTATGGTATTTTACAAGATTTGTTGTATTTTTTTCTTTTCAATTTCAGCTTATTTTTCAACAACTTACTAATCCTTTCAGCTTTTTATTAAGGCTCTAGCTTTTAGTTCAATTCAAACGAAATTAATTGTAATAGATCGCAAGAATAATGTAAACATAATCTATTCCTGAAATAGTCTTAACTTCTTCACATTCCAAAACACACTCATGCCAAAATTAGTAATAAAAACAGAGATAAAAGAAAAGACTTACAAATAGATTTGGAAATTCTTGGAGCCTGAGAGAACGCTATGGTAGAAAAAGAAGTTCTGGGTCTTGTAATTCCGATAGTGTGAGCTGATTTTCTGGGCAGAACGGGCAGACCGAAGATGGGTTTGCTGTGGTTTGGAGAAAGACCCATCACCAGTTGCGGGCAGCATGAGGAAGACGAAGCCGCCATAGCTGAGCTTACCCTTTCTTCTGAGTGGAAAAGAAATATTTACTCCTTTTTTTTTAAAAAAAAAACTGTGATCTTTGGTGTCAAGAAGACCAGAAGGGCTCTACAGAAGGGGATTTGGAGGAGGAACAGAATGGCAACTCCTCGGAATTTCAGAAATTTTTGCAAGTGAAGTGATAGGAAAAATGGGTCGGGTCAGAGGAGATTCCAGCCTGATTTGGATTTTGTTCACTTTGTTCAGAGCCCATAACATTGAAATACCCAAACCCGAAACAAAAGAATGCCCGTCACGGATTTATGCATTATTATGATGAAAAATGTGGCTCATATACTTTTATTTCTTTTTAATATTTTTCCAAAATTTTAAAAATCAAATCATGAATTTTGTTTTGGGGAAATGCACCTGATCGTCTAATTAATTTTTATTTTAATTTTCTTAATATTATTGACTCCAACACAATATAAACTAATATCTACGTCCTTGCTAGAAATTGAAGTTGTGTAAGCATTATACAAAATCTTGTGGACTTGACAAAAAAATCTTGTTGAGAAAATCTCCTGCCACTCAAGCCAAGAAATAACTTGAAGCTATGTTAAGATATGACTCATCAGTTCAAATCTCTCCAAATATTTAGGCTCCGTTTGGTATACGGAATTGATGGAATTGGAATTGAATTGGAATTGAAATTCCATAGGATTCAATTCCATAGAATTGAATTCACCAATTCCAATTCATTCTTTGCACTATCACTTCTAAATCCACATAATTTTTGTGCTATCAAACACCAAAATTGGAATTGAAGTCCTCAATTCCAATTCCATAGTTTGAATTCCGTGTACCAAACAGGGCCTTATTATTTCATTTCAAATTTAGAATTAATACTCTATAGATAGACATGCCTAAATTGGAGCAAGAGATGACGCAAATACTAAAATATAAATTTGATTCCTTTTGTCACCTAAATGGTAGTTCACATTGCACGCCGTCACATTGTCACTAGAGCACCGTCGCTGGTTGCAGGAGCACCGGCTACAGCTCGGATGTCGATCGCTATCATTGACCACTGTAGACCGGTGATCCATCATTCACACTACAACATTGTCATCATTTGCCACTATTTACACTACTAAATTTCTAAACGAAGTTAGTTACCACTTGAGAGGATATGTTAGGAATCTGTATGTCGAACATAGTTTCCACATCAGATAAATCATAAAAATTCTACGCACATATAAAGAAAGGCAAAACACCATCCATTGGCCTACTCTTTTTTATAAATAGTGAATCCAAATTTTATATAGGAAATTGATCAAATCTCATCCGACACTTCACCAGTTAACTAAGCCCACCCAAATTTAAATATTTATTGAAGGATAAAAACTACGGCAAGATTCCATTGAAACTCGTTCATTTGAAGCTTTTCACCCACCCTCTGCAACCCCACTGTATACTCCCTTCAAATGTGTGACTATTAATATTAATTTTTCATTTTAGGGCATCAAAAAAAGATTAAATAAACCAGTGTCATCCGTTCCATTGAAACTAGAAACCCGTATCAACAAAATCTAAAAATTATATTTTGGTATTTTGATTGCAATGAGATTTTTTACTTCTTCTTTCCTGTTTACTATTACGGTATCTCGATAACTGTTATTTGTTCGTGTGTTTTTCATTGATGATTTGATAATAAAAAATATTCTTGTCACTTCTTATTTTGTAGAGTTTGCGATGTAGTTTATAAATATAATTTTTTATGTGTTATTTCCCTAGCAATTTAAAAATAAAATCATTTTAAAATTCATAGGATTTTGCACATTAATAGAAAATTCTTTTTGGGACAGAGAGAGTATATAATACTCCCTCCGTCCTAAAATTAACTTCTCATTTTGACTTTTGCAGTCAAACTTTTTAAACTTTGATTGTATATTACGGGAAAAATATATTGAATTTTCATATAAATTTATTATCAATAGATTCATTTTGAAACATTGTTTTGAAATATATTATTTTTATTATATATATTCATATAAAAACGGAGATACTAATGGTCAAAATGTCGCATTGGAGATCGTGAAAAATAAAATGAGAACCCCTGGAGGAGTAGTTCGTATGACCATCCATCCACACTCACCAAACTGGGCAGTTGAGTCCCATCTCCACCTGTTTTCAAAACCATCGCTGCCTTTTTCATCTTCAGGTTTCAGGCTTTCAGCTTCCAGGGTTTTTTCTTCATCCATTAAAATTTTCTCCTCCTCATTTCCATTCCACCCATTCAACGGTATGCCTATCCTTTCTCTTCTCTATTTTTCTTTACAGTTTTTTTTGTCATTTTTTCTTGATTTTCTTCACTGCAATTTTAGTTAGGTTTCACTGAGATTACATACTCCCCCGCCCCCATTTAGATTACAATATTCTCTTTTTGTGTAATTTAATATCAAGTCACATCAAAAAAATCTTTCCCAAATTAACCCCAATATTATGATTGAAATGCTATGAGTATCATAATGTGTGTAGCTAGGGATATTAAAGGGGTGTAGTTTTGTCCAAAAGGTGTGTAAATTGCATTATTGTAATCCATTTTGGGACAAGAAAAAGAGAAAATATTGTAATCAAAACTGAGACGGAGGGAGTATATAACTTTAACGTACTCCGTACATTTTAACCGATATAACTGGTGGACAGCTGCATTTCTTAAATGCTCACCAAACACGTGACTTTTAATTGATTCATTTGTGTTTTCTCTAAAAAATCTTGTATTAGCTTTGAGAACCCATATTTATTCTAGCACTTGGAAACAACCTATCTACTTTCAACTAGGGGTAAGATCTGCGTACACACACCCTTCCAAGACCCTACTTTCGTGGGATTTACTGGGTTGTTGTTGTTGTTGTTATCATTCCTTCTAGACGTCCGAACCCATATCATATCAACCCTCTAAAACTCACCAAATAGACCCTATGAGGATGGTTGGATTTGTTTTTTCTATAGAAGTCAGAAGCTCAAATGTGATTTAGGTTTCATTTGGTTATACATTTCATAATAGTTAGTGTTTTAAACATTTTTTAATGGTGCAAATTAGATTTGAAACATTTAAGTTAAAAATTATTTTTAGAGGGTGTTTTAGTCTGCTTATTTTTTAAAAAAGTGCTCATTTTGAAAACAAGATCTAAAAGCATCTCAAACTACTTCTCAGTTCTTACTTTTATGTTTTTTAAAAAAATTGAAAATCAGACCATCTCAAACATTCCAAACAACTTTTATCTAAAACAAGAGCTCATACTTATGTTATAAATCCATCATAAATATCCTCTATAGAGTATTTTCAAATAAAAAAGTAAAATAATGTCAATAACTGGACCACTTTATGATAAACGGTCGATAGGGCATCTTTTGTGGATGATATATTATAGTTCGACAACTTTTCTGGTCAGTATTTAATCCACCAAAACATCATTTTTTTATTTTTCTGAATCAGAATTTGCTTGCTATGTGCACTGTTCTATTTCTGGCATTATTATTGTTTTGTTTTGGAAAATCCACACTGTTACTCTCAAAATCCGCAAGCTTAGATTCATTAAATGGCAATGCTGCTCCTAGAATATTTATGAGTTTATACTGCCACAGTGCCATTCCATTGGTCACCGAATGTTTTAACACCGGCTGTGTAATGTTTAAGGAGGTGGCATTGGTGTAGAACATATGATGACCAGTGGAGTGATTGTATAAACTCATAAATATTTGGGGAGTAAAAATGTTATTTATTGGATGTTGGAGTAATGATGTGAAATCGTGAATTTCTCCTAGTAATGATGTGCATTTTTCATTGATTTTACTGATCATTATTAAGTCTTATGTGTGTTGTGTGTTCGGTATCACAAAGTGTGCATACTGATCGCATGTGATTAATTGAAAATGCCTAAAAGTTAAGTTCTCAATTGGTGACGAATTGGAGAGTCTCATTCCTTTGATGTGTTATGTAGACCAAAAACTTAGGTTTTCTACTAGAGCTACAGCTTTTTACAGTGCAAAAGTTCATGTCAGTACTTTCAGAAACCTAAGAATTTACACAATTATGACCAACTTTCCCAAAAACTAATCTATTTACAACAATACTTCAAGTTTGCATATTGATCACGTCTTCTAAAAAGAATGTGTAACTTTTTAATCTGAGTAATTATAATTAACCAATTATAATTAACCCTCTGTGCCACAATGTTTTACATCTTTCACTATTCAAAAATCATGGAAACTTCTATTTATTTGGGTGTTTTCATTGATTATTTGATAAAATAAAATATTCTTGTCACCCCTTGTTTTGTAGAACTTTTGACGTACTTTTAAAATATGAAAATTTTATTATTAATTTCTATACCAATCTTTAAATAAACGGAATTGAAAAAACTTGAGATTTTACTTCGTTTTGCGTAAAGAGTAATTCATTTAGGGACGGAGGGAGTAAATTATAAAACAATGTTTCTTACAGATTCTATTTCTCTATTTAACTAAGACTAACATATTTAACTTGTTTTTGGCACAATGTTTAGCTTGTTTAGTTGTTTGACATACTTTTTTTTATATATAAAAAACATTGAATACAAGTTGGTCTATTTTTTGGACAAAATATAGATTGAGAAACATGAAATTTTTTATAAGGCGGAAGGAGTCTATTACACCTTGTTAATGTTTTTGTGAGACAAAAACAGTTCACTTTCTTCCACGAGTTATTGATTCTATCTCTGATTTGAGTGATTGGGAGAAAACCCCTCCAATCTATATTGTGGATGGGTTGATCCATTAATTTAGTTGTAAACTAAAAAACATCTTTTTTTAAGAAAAGAATTTAAATTGTCAAATAAGTCTTTGAAACGAGTTAGCCCCTCATTCAGTCATTTGTGTCAACATTGCTAATGCCCTGTTTTTAGGATAATTTTGACAATTTATGTCATGCAACATCAAGCGGCAACAACAAATCCAGTATAATTCCTACTCTATTGTGGTCTAGGGGTCAAGATTAGAGAGACACGCTTAGAGTAACTCTTTTTTTAAAAAAAATCGAATTCTCATACATGTTCATTGTATATGGATTTTCATCTTTTACTTAACACATTATTAATGTATTTAAGAATTTTGTAGGTGATACATGCATGTTGAGTAAAGTTCTAAAAATGGGTGATCATGGTGTTGCTCATACTATCCGCGTTCTCTTTTGCGGGCCCCATTTTCCCGCCTCTCACAATTATACAAGAGAATATGTGAGAGGCTATCCATTTATAAAGGTGCAAATGTGTTTTCTCATTTCATTGTTATTTCAAAATATTTAATGCATAACATTTGAATATGTGACTATTGTACTATATTGCTATGTTCGAAACTTCAAAGATTTAGCATCCCTAGAAAACAATGTGCTATCCTTTATAGGTTGATGATATTCCAATTGACAATGTGCCTGCTGTGATTGGGGACTATGATATATGTGTTGTTAAGAACATGAAACTGAACTCTGATATCATCTCCAATGCAAAGAAGATGAAACTTATAATGCAGTTTGGAGTTGGGTTGGAAGGTAAGTGCTCCTTTTTGTTAGTAGATTAGATCTCAGTGTTTAGAAACATCATTTAATCAATAAACCTGCTTATGGTTTGTTAAATATTCAAAAAAATTGCACACTTGGCTCATGACTATGAGGTCATCCCCACTGTTGGTCCTAGTGGTTGATCTTTATTCACCATTTGTCTTGCAGAAAGAACCTCTCTACTCTTCTGGGTAAGGATAAAGCCTGTGCGCATATAGACATGGCAATTGAGTCATTCGATTTGGGTTTGGGTCTGGTTAACTCTTGTTTTGGTTAGGTTTTGGGTCAGCAAGATTCAGGCAGTTCGGGCTCGGTTTGAGTGATATTTGGTGTAGCAAGCTTGTCTCCTAAACTTTCGTAAAAAAAGTTTGGTTTTTCCTGTTCACATCATCTTTAGTTCGGGTTCACTTCGGGTGACTGTCCTTTCGAGTATGATTTTGGTCTTTTCTATTGAATTCCTAGTCTACCTTTTGCTGGATAACTGGATAAGTAACCAGAAACGACCAAAAGTAGCAAGAGATCCATAACTGTGCACCCGAAGTGGGGAGAAATGAAAGTTGGGTATCCAAATTGGGAATAACACATTACTTTTGGGACCAAAAGTGGAATGTTCTGTTGAACTCATTAAAAAATGTTTTACAAAAGATGTTGATTTTTCATGCTGATTGGTCCAATTGTTGTTGTCCCCTTATGCTAAAGGTATTGACATTAATGCTGCTAAAGACCATGGCATTAAGGTTGCTAGAATCCCTGGGGATATTACTGGAAATGCAACTTCATGTGCTGAAATGGCCATATATCTTATTTTGGGTCTTTTGCGTAAACAGGTTCGTTTACTTATTTCTCATTGATGCAAAATCAGTAGTACAAAGAAGATACAAGTGGTTATACTAAAGAGCACTTCTAAGTGTTTGTCTTACTTGGCAAAAGCACTTTGAGTTTGTTTAGAAGCGCATCCAAAATTGGCCTTTATTGATTTTTTGTTATATAGTCCTACATGCATAAACTTGACTCAAAATATCCTATTGTTGGCTTGTTGCAGCGCGAAATGGAAAGTGCTTTAAAAAATAAAAAGTTGGGAGAACCAATTGGTGACACCCTCCAAGGAAAAACAGTAAACCTTCCTCTTCATTTTTACTACTACCTTTTTTTTGCGAAAAAATTCTTGTCGATATCCCCATAAATCTTATACTTTATACGAATACTCCAAGATTAATTATATAATTAACGCATGCGCTCTCAGGATTTAAATATTTTTACAATAATGGAACTTTTTTTGGTGTATGAATCCTCCATCTTTCATGAGATTGTGTGATCAACTTGTAATCTTAGAGTATTCATGTAAAAATATTTTAATTCTGGACGACCCCAGTGATATATTTGTAATCTGGCAGTATTCGGGCAAAATTTCAAATCTCTGAGAATATTGCTGTAAAATTTTCTCTTTTAATAACCTTTTTACTCATCCTCTCCAATTTCCATCCAAAAACTGTCTGATTCATTATATTTCAGGTATACATCATGGGATATGGGAATATCGGGATTCAACTGGCAAAGCGTTTGAGACCGTTTGATGTGAGAATACTTGCTACTAAACGAAGTTGGTCATCAGATTTGCACAAGGTCATCAATGGAACCCACGGTAAGAACACCTCATTAATCACTTCATTAGGTTGGCCCCACGTTTCTTTTGACACTGGTTTTGGCTGGGTCATAATATGATTCTGGGCTCTTATGAGTTACGATGCTACGTTAGGTGCCAAAGTGGGTCTTACTTCCTAAGTCCTAACCCACCTACAAATCATCAGTCCCCAAGGAAATGCCGAATGCTATAGTAACCCCATGAAAATGACAAAATGCTGCACTGTCACTGTAGAATTCGGCGTTTCTAAGGGGGATTAGAGGGTATAATCCACTTCAGGGCTCAACGGAGCATCATAGGGCCTTCAAAGGGCCACTGCCTTAATATGACATTCAAGGTGGTATCATAATTAAGAACACAGCTCATTGGTTGGTTTTATTTATTGTGGGTTCGTATGTAACTTTTCTATAATTTGCACCAGAAATGGAGAACACTGACCGGTTGGTTGATGAAAAGGGCAGCCATGATGATATTTTGAAATTTGCCAGCAAAGCCGACATTGTTGTCTGTTGCTTAGCCATGAATATGCAAACTGTGAGATCTCTCTTTTCTCCCTTAACATATACTTTTCCAAGAAACCTTTAGGCTGTCTGTGGAACACTGCAAGAAATAATGTTCTGTTCAAGCAGGCTGGGATAGTGAACAATGACTTCTTATCTTCAATGAGAAAGGTACATTATACTTCAGCTTTGAACCCCTTCAATTATAATAATATCAATAATAATAATACCACACGCAGTTCATGTGACTTTGAGACGAATGTCATAGCAGGACCCGAGCCTCCTATAGAACACCGCTGGTAAAATTGATGGTTCCTGCCACCCTAATCCTCCCCCAAACCCCTCTGCCCGCTGCACCCCCTTGCCCTCCCTCCCCTTCGCCATTTGGCTACAGTGACCACTGTAGCCAATCGGCGAAGGGGTGGGGGTGGGGGTAGGAACTAACAATTTTACCAACGGAGCCCCGTAGGAGGTTCGGGTCATGCAATGACATTGGAAGCCAATGTCAAATGAACCGTGAATATTAATAATAATAAGTATAATTATAATTATAATTGTTAGACAATAATAATTATGGTAGTCTTTGTATTTTAATTTGCTTCTATTATTGATTCATACTCCTAGTTGAGGTTATAATCTCTTCTATATATACTCTTCCATTATTCCTTGAGTAATACAATTATCTCATTATGCAATATGGTATCAGAGCTAAGGTCCCTCTTCTAAAAAAACCTAACATCTCATTTTCTATGACCTGGTGCGGAGTGCCACCGCCAGTCTTCATGGTCGATCGTCATAGATCATGACCTCGTTGTCCATTATCTTTCTCCTCTCTAAAAAAATTATGAGCAAGCCTAACAAGTGTTGCCCTTTATCCCTCTTTCTTTGAAAAAAAAATCGTGTGTGTGATCGAAGAGCTGCATTTGTCTGTGTTTGTTCATTGTTCGAGAGCATGATAAGCGATAGAGAAGTAGAGAATGGCCCAAAAGGAGAAAAAAAAAGAAACTTCTCGCCATCGATTCAATCGTCAATACTCTTCATTGGAAAAAAATCAGGACATGCACTCTCAAGCTTGTTCGTCACTCTCAAGCTATCTTCTCCGCGATTCCATGATCTTGTTTCCAAGCTTCCACTCGTGAGTCATGACACGAGTTCAACTTAATGAGGGAATAATTATAATTATGATTATCATCATCGTTCGGGAAAAATGAGACAGTCTGGTACAACAGCGGCCATATTTGATCTTCTTATAGCGAGCAGAGCGATCAAGATGGTAAGTGTGAGAACGTTTTTGGTGCGGGTGTTCACAAGCAAGGCGGAGGTGAGACTCTTGGCAAAGAACGTGATGACTTATGCTGCCATAAATGATTCTCGAACAGAAGGGAGGTTGAACTTCTTTTACTTTTTGAGCACGAGTTCAATAAGTTGTGAGGTCATCTCTATTGAACCTATGATGATGAGAAACCCTCACGTTGATGCGATTGTTAGTGGATATAGAGGGAGCCCACCATTGAAGATAACCAAAATTGGTGAATTATGCATGTCAATCGGCCTCTAGAGGTTGGTAATAACGGTCTTGATATGGTAACACAGTCACTGCCGATCCTCCAGCCGTTGTACAACATTTTCTCATTGTTCCCAAATGATGATGAGTATTATTATAGTTGAAGGTACATTATCATACGTTCTTGACTTTGTGATATAGGAACCTTTGGGGGCTTTCATTGTACAATTAAATATTACTTCATTCGTCCCAAAATGTGTCACATTTCGAACAATATGTAAAATTTCATTTCTTTTAAAATTATGTTATTTACAAATCAGTAGAGAAATAAAAGGTACAAATTACACCTCATCAAAAGTTTTACAAAACAAGATGCGACAAGAATATTTTATTTTATCAATTGATCACTCAAAGTAAACAAAAGTCATTGAAAGGCCAAAATAGTAATTGTGGCAATCTTTTTGGGACAGAGAGAGTACAAATACTATTTGTTTTTCAGGGAGCTATGCTCATTAATATTGCACGAGGCGGGCTGTTGGATTATGATGCTGTTTTTGATCACTTGAAAAGCGGACACTTGGGAGGTTTAGGCATGGATGTCACTTGGACCGAACCATTTGATCCCGACAACGCCATTCTAAATTTCCCAAACGTTATAGTCACGCCCCATGTTGCTGGTGTCACAGAATTGTCCTATAGGTGCATGGCCAAGGTACATCTCATCATGTAGTATTATTATACTCGTAGTTGTTATTCCTAGGAAAAGTTGATGCTAATTCAGTTAAAATGAAAAATGTGATTTCTAATATATCAATTTGGAAGGAAAACGTGCCACAAGTTGCACCGCTAGCCCTTTTTAAATAACACATCTTTTAAAAACTAGCCCTTTTTGAGATTTTAAGAAAATACTCCAAAGCTACATAATTCTCTCCTGCGCTCCAAGAAATTCAATATTTTTATAATAATGCTGTAAGATTGCATATGGATCACTGTTACACATTAAAAACAAGGATCCATGTAAACTAAAAATTCTCTTGGAGTATTATTGTAAAAATATTGAATTTCTAGAAGCGTTGGTGATAATTATGTAATTTTGGAGTATTTTTGTAAAATCTCAAATATTTCAAAGTATTGACATAAATTTTTCATTATTATTATTGTTATTGTTATTATTATTATTATTAGTATTTCTCTTCTTAAAATATTCCCATTAGTGTTGGGTAATCAAAAACATAAAATGTCTAACCAAACCATGTGGCATCTCTTTCTCTCGTCTGATGTTTAAATTATGTTACACAGGTTGTAGGAGATGTTGCTCTTCAACTTCATGCTGGGAAACCTTTTTCCGGGATCGAAATTGTGAATTGATTTAAGTTTTAAAAAAACTTCCTCATCACATTGTATTCACGAGAGTACGTTGTGCAATAGCATTTTCAAAGTTTCTTCAGTACTTCAGACGATAGAAGTTTGGTTCTTGCTAGCGGGATGGCATTGGTGTTGTTTTATGGTAAACCCGAGAAAGGGTCATTATCGTCAACGATTTCATGGTTTCCTCTTCTGTAACGCATGAAAACTCAACATATGGTTGAACGAAAAAACCTCTATTTGGAAAGATTTTTTTCCTCACGTTTACTTGCATTGATGATCAAGCCCGTGAATTAAATAAAATGGAAAATCATTTAGGTCTCGTTTGGTACATGGAATTCAAACTATGGAATTGGAATTGGGAACTTCAATTCCTATTCTGGAGTATGGTAGCACAAAAGTTATGTGGATTTAGAATTGATAGTGCAAAAAATGAATTGGAATTGACAGAATTCAATTCTATGGAATTGAATCCCATAGAATTTTAATTCTAATTCAATTCTAATTCTACCAATTCCTTATACCAAACGGACCCTTGGGGTAAAGGCAAAGACGATGATCAAACCTTGTGTAACGCTCATTACATTAATATTGTTAATTGCATCATACCAAACATAGCCTTAAGTTCTGGATGGGTGTTTGGCAGTAGAAAACAGTTTAAGAACTTTTAATCTATTTGACTATTTCTCTCTTCTTCTTTAATTCTTCTCTTGGAGTAATCTTTAACTGCTTTTCAGTTTTAGAAGTTTTTTTCAAAACAGCGTTTTCATCTGCCGTCAAAACGCATAATTATTGATCTCGGCAATTAATTCATCTTGTGGAGTAACATATATAGAAAAACACATAATTATTGAGTACCGTTTTGAGAATTTACTCTCTTTTTTTGTAAATAAATAATCTCAGCATTCAAATTTATGTACTTGAATTATTTTCTTGACTAGAGAAAAATAAGTTGCAAGATTATGATAAAATGTTAGATATTCGAACTACCCAAATGAATCAAATAAGATATTCTGTAGTAAATACTTTTCACTTTATTTATCCTCATACATTAACTTTTGAATAGGTATGATCTTTAACAAAAAAAAATAAAAATTGCTTTTGATATTCACTTATAGTGGAGAATACTCTGTATGAACCAAATATTGTTTTTTCATACGGACTATATGGAAAGAGACAAGTTATATTTTGTACGGATGAAATTAAAAATTTTGAAATTTAAATTGGAAAAAGATAGAGGACCAATAACTATCATTGTGAATTAATAATACAATAAATTACTGCTGTTTCAGCTATTGATAATCGGTCGTGTAACAATGATTAGAACGGAGTAATTGTACTAATATATATGGAGTATTATTTAAATTATTGTTTAAAATTTGTCTAGTTTGACAAAAAAAATTAATTTGGACAAATAGTTTGTGACGAAGGTAATACACACTAAACACCCCATTATCCTTACAAAAATATGGAGTATTAATTAAATACACTAAACATTCCAATATCCTTACAAAAATACTTTCTTCATCGCCAAATAAGAGTTACAGAAAGAACTTTAAAGAAAACCGAAGTGGTTATGGAATTAATTGATTTTACTTAAAATTAGTTGAATCGGGGGTTTCTTGGAAACAACATCTCTTTTTTAGTAGGGGCGAGATCTATGTACAACACTCTCTTTAGGCCCTACGATTGTGGAATCCAACTATGTTGTTGTACTATTTAAATTTGGTACAGAAATAAAAAACTTACAATATATTTAAAAAAACTACGGAGTACTTCAAAAGTTCTACATGTACAAAATAAGATGTGTCATAACTATTTTATTTTATTAAATAATCGATAAAAATCATCGTAATTCTGAATTATTTAGTAATTCACAATACACATGAATAAATTCACATTAATCAACCCATAATTGACACATGATTAAGTTCACATTAATCAACCCATAATTGATTTCAACCAATTAAAGAAAAGTACTAATTTTAGCCACCCTTTAACCATAGTGATCTTTAAAAAAACAGATTTTTTTTTATTCCCTTTTTTTGTGATGCTTTGGACTTTGATACTTTGAATTAATACAATTATGCTTTATTTTCAACAACAACAACAAGAAAACACACTTTCCTTTTGTCTTTCTCTTTTGTCTTCTTCTTTTGTCTTCAGCTTATAATAAGATCCATTAATGACATTATAATTTTAGTTTGATCTAATTATTGCCAGAGGCTCGCCGTCCTCATCAAGGCACATTTATTTAACCCTTTTGATTTTGCCAAAAAATAGGGGGGGTGTATCTGACTTTTTTGTAATTTTTAAAAGAATTATGGCCAAGTTTTAATTTTTATTAATAATACATGGGCCCAATTAATTCTTACAAAGTATTAATTCTTTTTTCCTAGTGTCATTATGTGTGTGGATTTATATCAATGGAATATGAATATGTAATTCATACTCTCCCCGTTCAACAAAACCTTCCTGTTTACTACTTAACGATGCTCGATAACTTTTGTTTACGTGTGTTTTTTCATGAGTCATTTGATAAAATAACATATTCTTAGCTCCGCTTATTTTGTAGAACTTTTGATGTAATTTTTAAATACGTAAGTTTTACTTTTTATTTTTATACCAATTTGTAAATAAAATCATTCTAAAAAAGATGAATTTTGCACGTAAAAACGAAATAGGAAGAGTTTAGGTGAACGGGGAAGTATTATAAAGAATCTATACATGGGCCTCATCAATTCTGTTTGAATCTTCAATTCAATCCATTGGGTAAAGGACCCATCTCCCAACTGTCACCAAAAGAGGTTTTTGACTATTCAGTCCCCATTCTTTGATTCTTTATTCCCACTCTTTTATAAACATCAACATTTGGGCCCTTTTGAACAAAAAAAAGAAAATGAAAGAACATCTTTCAAGAACCATAATCCCCTTAACATCCCAAGTTCTTCCTCAAGCAGAGCCCAGAAAGAACCACCACAGCAATGGAGCTGATCACCAGGATGGCATTAATGGCGAAGGGGAGATTTTCGGGGTCATCTTGAGCCGAAGCCGGTCCATTTCGGCCCAAAAACCGACCAATCAGAGGGCAGCAGACGAGAGTACGTACCCGCGAAAAAGCAGTGCGGGAGGAAGAGTGTCACTGTTGTTGAGCATGAAGAGATCGTTCTCGTCATCGTCGTCGTCGTCGTCGGGAGGGTACTGTAGGATTCATCATCAACATGATGTCATCGGTGCAGGTGGCGATGATGAAGATGATGATGTGAAGAACCGGTCCGGCGATAGTAAAAAATACCATTCCCGGAAGAGAACAGATAAGAAGAAAGGCAACAAGATTCTTACAGCTTGTATAAGGTTACTTGGATTTTAGTTCTTTCAACTCAGTTCTCAAGTGTAAGTTTTCATATTAGAAAGTAATTTGTGCTATTGTGAATTTGTTTAGAGTTACTCAATAAGCAGTGGCCAGTTAAACCCCCATGTAAGTGAGAACAATTTTTTTATAAAAAAAAATTGAAATACAGGTATTTGTAAATTGTAATATAATTAATATATACTCTGTATTCATGAAAAGTAAATGGCTGCCCAAATTGAATTATTATCATCTTTTATTTTATCCAAAACTTTATATTCCAATGAACAAAAACCATTGTGTACTATACATAGACATAGTTTCAAAAAAAATTAATTGTTGAAAAAAAGGGTAAAATCACCTTCGCGAAAAACCCATCGCCTGGTAAACATTATGGAGAGTAACATTTGCAACGTCTGCTGCTTTCTTAGCGCCTTCTGCTAAAACTTTGTCCAAATAGTCACTATCTGATATAATTTCCTCGTAGCGAACCTGCAAATAGGTAAAGAAAAAAAGTTAAGAAACACAAGTGAATGACAGAAATATAGCAAAACACAAAATTCTAAAGAGTAATTCTAAGGGTTCTTTTGGAACTTTCTAAGCGCTAAGGGAAGAAAAAAGGTAGGATGATAGAGATTTTTTTTTGTTATCTACATATATCATATATGATATCGATTAAGAGTTATGTATATGAAGACTCCGAAATCTAAATATATGTATATGTTGAAAAACTTTTAACCAAATTTGGGTTTTTGTTATTTGAAGTAAAACCAAACATTAATACACCTTTGCGTGCAACCGAAACAAAACGCCTGCAAATGAAAAAAAACAAGTAATTTCACGACCCTAGATTCACACGCGAGAAACTCTAAAATGCATCATATACGAAAACACAAAAAAACCTGGATTGGATGCAGATGTGCAACTAAAGCATCTGTGAGCAAAGGCTTAAATGTTCCCCAACTCATGCTTTGGCATTCCTCGGCAACATCCTGGCAATTAAAAAAAGTATTATGAATTACATACTGTGATATTATTCCAATTTCCAAGGATATTTAAAAAACTATTCTAATCTTGCTCCAAAAAACAACAAACTTGCACTTGAGTGTGTACACTATTAGATATATGATCTTAGACAAATCATAAAATCTTCCCAAGTCAGCCCCACCTGAAATTTAAAGTGTAAACTACTAGTTTGGCCTCTCAAATATGCGCTGTTCAATTAGTTTTCGTCTGATAATATTTTTCATGGAAGCGTAGACAAGGTTATGCAACTACATTATTCTTTCTTTAGAAGGTTGTGACAACAAGAGCATCGAGCTTATAACTTTGCCACTAATTTTTGCGTTAAAATAGAATAAAATTATGTCAGAAACTTAATGGGCACTAAATTTCATGCCACCAAGGCACCTACCTTGATGTAGTTTGGTTTATTGATGATAATGATCACAATTATATGTGCTACAAATTTATTACTTTCATTTCTAAACGAATTAAAGAAAAAAAATTAGAGTGAGTGATGAACCTGTAAAAGTGTAAAATGTTTCAATGAAAAACAAAATGGGAATGAATGCATATGAGAGGTAAATGTGAACAACTTTATATCTGATGGATTACATTTTAAAAATAAAAAGCAACAGCTCTAAAAAACATAAAAAGTAACAAAAGAAGTTAGAATGAATATGTAAGGGGCTGAATTGATATAATGAATCTGTAATGGGCTAAATTAACAACAATGAATCTGCAAGGGACTCAATTAAGATGATATTGCAAAAAAGAAGAAGAAAATCTAGTGACCAAAATAGGAGAGAATGCTTGAAATAATATGATGTAATCGAATTTAAAACTTCAGAAAAAAATAAATGAATATAAAAAACTTGACTTGTTACCTGCTTTGTCTTGCCTGATACAAGCTGATAAATAGAAAGAAGATTGTTGCATTCCGGTCTATCGGGATTGTCAAATTCCAAGCTGAAATGTGTAAGACAGGTAAATGGCAAAAGACATTATAATAATCAGTAAAAATAGTGCAATTCTTTCTTGGATCAATATACATAAAAAAGGATAACAAACAGTAGATTAAGACAAAACTGAAAGCATGTAATAGCAGACAATAATTTAGTTTTAATTAAAAATTTAGTGGAATTAATTTGACATATCAAATAAAGAATACTAACCCAATAAATGAGTCAGTCTTGCATCGTTTTATCTTATTTGATATTGCCTACAAAAGAAGCATTGAACTAAGAGCATATAAACAATAATTGAATTGGTTTTATATGTTCTGAATTCTCATAGCTTTACATGGCAGCTTAAAAACAGCATTTATTGAAACCTTCACAAACAAAAGCCGATCATGAAAATAAAACAGTGAACTCACTTCTTTTGGATCAAGCAAGTTGATACGAGATTGGTCAGAAGGTGCCGACTTTGACATCTAAGAATAAAGATAGATCAGTACATAAATAAATGTTGTCACTAAAGAAGAATATTTAATCTAATATTAAAGACACGTAAAACATCAGTATACATATTGTTTGGTGGAGACGGTGTGAATGATAGGTTGCAACATAAAACCATGCCACACCAAGAAAAAAACAATATACTAAGGTCCTTGAAGAGATACCTCGCCACTTACAAGTTCAGTTCTTGGTAAATGTTTATGACAACAATCTATAAGTTTCATCTTAGAGTGTGTTTGGTTCAAAGGGAGGGGAGGGAAAGGCTAGAACTTGGAGAAAGGGGGCGAGGGGGATTTGGCTCTCCAACCTTCCAAAATATTTGGCTCCACTCCTGATCCCCCCCCCCAACAACATCAAAAAACTCCTCTAAGTCGAACGCACCTTGATAATGATATCAATACTAGTGCATTTTATAATTAATACATACCGATCATTAATCATGCCAACTAAGGAGAAATTTATAAAAGTATACAAGAACAATGCTGCCAAAACATACTTTTCCGTAATGGGTAGATAGTTATACATGTTATGCTAACTGGAAATGGTTAAGACAGAAGATTAAAAAAAACTGATTTTATTTTTTAACCTTTGATAGGCCATCGGTAAGAGACATTATTCGAGCTCCAGCAGGTGGAATAAGGGGTTCAGGCACCTACATGGATGAAACTGATCCTGTGAATGTCATGCCAACTATGAACATGTTCTAGGATAACAGAAAAGCATGAGAAAAAATAACCTTGAATAACGGACCATTTCGCCTGTTGCATGGGGGGAAAACCATTAGTTCTCAAATAAATTCAAGGAGAAAACGAGAACTAAAATGATAAAAAAATGAAACTACCTGTCTCAAAAAAGAGAAGTCATTTTTGGTCAAGGTACAACAATTTAGTTTTGGAAATTTACAATGATAATAATGTATGAAATCCTACTTATATAAATATCACATTTAACTTGTAAATAGTTGTAATTGAAATAGTACTCATTGTTGGGACAAAAATGTACATGGGTGTTTTTTGTGGCGCGGGGTGTGGAAAGAATATATGTAAAACATAAATGTTAGCCATATCTAGTCATGGCCAGCCGCAAGCATGCAAAAATGCCATATATTGCTAGATATCTGACACACCTATCAAAGCAGAACTCTCATTTATATTTGTCAAATAGAGCTCAAATACCAAATATTCAGATTTAAGTTGGCTTAGTGGTTATATTTTACAGTAGTATTTTTTTGTGCAAGAGTGTGCAAATCATGTTCACTTACCCTCCCAATTTCTTCCATTTTTTACCTCCATATAAATAGTTAACGCGTTCTGCAAGCTCTCGTGTCAATTCAAGATGTTGCTTCTGATCCTCTCCAACAGGAACAAGATCAGGCTGCTTAAAATTTTTTGAAATTATTAGAGTTGTGTATCTTCAGATATATATATGCAAAATATAAGTTACGACGCAAAGATATATATTTTTTGCAACACAATAATAATTTCCATGACAATCAGAGGGAAAGGGTGAATCAACTATCGGATTACATATGAATTACATGTATATTCCACCATGTTGCAAGCTGAGGAAAATGACCTGGTACAGAAGAATATCAGAAGCCATCAGCACAGGATAGGTTAGAAGGGAAACCCCAACATTTTCATCCCCCTGTACACAAAGGGCGAAAAACACAGCAGTCACATGAGCTCTCCAGAAGAACAATCAAACAAAGGAGGATGGAATTGTAGGAGTAATAATTCTAAATGCATGGAATCTTGCAGAAAACTCATTACAAGCTCCTCCTTGCATGGCACAAAAGACAAGAAATATTTGACTCTGGTCCAATGGGAAACTTTACTACTATTCAATGCCCCTAGCCACAGATGCATGAATCTTCAAATTCAGCAGAAACATTAGGGGATACATGTCAATATCTTCATAAAATCATACCACAAACACGCTCCAGGGGAGAAAACTTAGACTATTTTTTTGAATGCGTGTGAGGAGAAAACACTCTAAAAGAGAAAACCTGACAGTGAACAGTAGCATGAAATAAAAAAAAGTGTTTGATTTTATTTAAAAAATAATATCCCCTGATAATAACAAGAGGCTGTTTTTCAAAACCAGCATGTCATTGGTTATAAATGGATGTTAAAAGGTTAACTGCCCCAAACTCTCCCATAGCCGTATATTTTTAATGAAATTTTGAGCTGGACGGTTGGCTGTAGTCCACCACGAATACCCAAACAAGCCCATCATAGAAGGCATTTGGAGCGGTGGAATGTAGATAGGAAGAAATTATTACAAACTTAAAATGAGATGCAAAGACATAAAAATATATTTCCGATGCATACAACAGCAACAACGACGCACCACTTTTCGTGACTTCTCTTTAAATTGAATCATTTTATTGAGCCACCCAATGGGTGTGGCAGCACTCAAAAGCCACATCAATTCTATATGAGCAGCAACATGAGACTGTATGAAGACTGAGGCCTGAGCACAGTGTAAAATAAGTCAGAGCTAAGGATTTGAATACTGCAGTAGCCGGCTTATACAAGCTATGAACTTCCAAACTTTTAAACTGAATACCCAACCTTTGAAGGGTCCACACCACATGCTAAATAAAGAGCAGCAGTGTCCTTAGTTGCTTTCAATAGTTGTGATGCATCATACGGCA